CCCCCCCCCCCCCCGCGCCACCGGGGACCTGCTATCCTGAGGCTGCTGGCGAGAATCTGACGAGGCGCGGAGTCCCAAAGGGTGGAACGCGTGACTGCCTTTACGAACCTTGTGGTTTCTTTGTTTTTCTCCCCGTGGAAGTGTCTAATTGCAGAGACTGTAGTATTTATTCACCATCTGCCTTTACCCTTAAAAAATTTTTTTCCTTTCCACGTTTAAAGTGTTTTATATTTCTGAATCCGGAACAGCCGTGACTATCAGATGAAACATAAGCCTTCTCCCCTGCTTTAGAAGAAAAGAGGAGAAAATGACCTGATTTCAGCTATCGCATGCAGGTGGTGAATGATCAATTCCAGTTAAATCCTGTGACTCATTCTAGATCATGAGAAAATAGTTGTGGTTTAGATTAACCCCAGCAGGTTTCAGCACCTGGTGCCCAGCAGGTGCTCTGAAAAAGCAAAGGGAGCATATTCGGTTGTACATACAGGGAATCCAGAACTGTCAGGTCGGTTGAAATAAGTCAGCGCTGGACAGAATATCCTTGTCTTTGTTAAAGAAAAAGTCATGAGTATGTATGCTCCTCCGTTCAGCACCCCGCGTCTGGACAGCAACCTCACAAGGGAGTGTGTTTCATCCTGCCTTAAATCATTCGCTCCAGCTGGAGGCACTCTTGTGGCCATTGTATCATTGCTCTGCACTGAAGCAGGACTTCATTTAAACGATCTCAGAAGGATGAGAATTTGTGGGGGTACTTGATAGACCTTTGGAGAAGGAAATCTTATCTACTTAGGCAGAATATGCCTGTGGCCCTGAATCTTTGAAAAGAAGTATCAGGGCATTGATTGGATGCCTGGGATTCTTTATCACAGCTTGACTTCAGAAATCTAGGACCCAAATCATGTATTCACAGTACTCTTCCCAGAACTCCCAAGAAGGATATCTGCATACTGTCATGGGCTTGGGCAAAACATACATACCTCTTTTTAGTTTCTTGACTCCATATATATGTTTTTTAAAAATTTTTAATGTTTATTTTATTTTTGAGAGAGAAAGAGGAGAGAGAGTGTGACTGGGGGAGGGGCAGAGAGGGAGAGAGGGAGAGGGAGAGAGAGAGAGAGAGAGAGGACACAGACTTGGAAGCAGGCTCCAGGCTCTGAGCTATCAGCACAGAGGCCAATGCT